GGTCATGGGAGGAGGCCAAGCACCACCTCAATCTGCTGGAATTTAGGGTAGTCCGCCATGCTTGCTTCTACCACTTCCCCCTAATTCAGAATAGGACAGTGCAAATACTCACGGACAACCTCACCACAATGTTTTCTATAAACCAACAGGGAGGAGCCCAGTCCCACTCACTGCCAGGAAGCAGTTCGCTTATGGGAGTGGTACATCTCACAAAAGCATACACCTGATTGCGTCCTACCTGACAGGCAAAGAAAATGTGCTATCTTGCAGACAACATCAGCAGGCATTTTTCACAGAGTCTCACGAGTGGGTTTATCCCTCAGCTCCATCAGGGCACACCTTGCTGCAACTGCAGCTCTACATCCTCCTCCTCCTGCCTCCCCCATCGATGGCTACTCTGTCTTCACGCACCCATTGATCACGTGATTTCTCAGGGGCTTACATAATGTTTCCACCAGTGAGACACCTACTTAAACCTAATGCTCAGAGAAATAACAGGGAAGCCCTTCAAGGCCCTTGCCACCTGCTTGCAACTTGGTCTGGGGGGAGGGATAGCTTGCTGGTTTGAGCACTGGTCTGCTTAAACCCAGGGTTGTGAGTTCAATCCTTGAGGAGGCCACTTAGGGATTTGGGGCAAAAATTTGTCAGGGATGGTACTTGGTCCTGATGTGAAGGTAGGGGACTGGATTTGATGACCTTTCAAGGTCTCTTCCAGTTCTAGGAGAGAGGCAATCTCTATTAATTATTATTTATCTCTTGATGAAGGTCTCCTTCCTTGTGGCAATTGCTTCAGCACATAGGGTGGGTGAGTTAGGGGCCCTCATGACAGACCCTTCCTTTATGATTTTCCATAAAGATAAAGTGGTCTTCTGCACACATCGTAAGTTTCTACTAATTATCTCGTTCCGTTGCAACAAACCCATTTACTTACCTGTCTTCTTCCCAAAATCCCATAAGGACAGCAGGGATGCAGCCTTGCATGTCTTAGATGTCTGCAGGGCAATTGCTTTCTACTTACAACACACAAAACCCTTCCACAGATCTCCAAGACTTTGTTTCACCTGCAGAGGTTACCTATTTCAAAACAGAGACTAGCCAGGTGGCTCGCTGGGTGCATACACCTGGCATACAGCATATTCCAACAAGAACCCCCAGTGACTATTCGGGCTCACTCCACAGGAGAAGTGGTGGCATCCACAGCTTTTCTCTGGGGCATATCAACAGAGGAAATGGGCCGAGCTGCCACTGGCTTCGGCACATACATTTACTAACCTCTACGCCAGCCGGACCTATTCTGCTTCCAATACCCAGTTTGTCTGAATAATACTCTCCATTATCCATCCAGGTCTCCAGAAGCTCCCACCACCAAGCATAACTACTGCTTTGTAATCATCTAAGATGGAGCACCCACAGGGATGCTAAAAGAAGAAGGGAAGGTCACTCACCTGGTGTTAGCATGTAGCCATCTACATGATTATCTTATAAGCCTGAGCTTATCATTTATCCTAACATCTACACCCACCTCCTTCCCTTGCTGCCTTCTATCAGAAGCAGTGCGTGGGGGAGGGAAAGTAGGAACCATGTAGTGTGGGGGGAGAGGCAGAGGTATCAGCGCAGAGGGTGAGATGGGCAGGTGGGAGCGGGTACATGCAGAAAGCTGACTTTCAAGCAGGCTCCCCACATGTATTGGCTCCCACTGAGCCAACTGTCTGCTCCCCTCCCCCCCAGCCTCTTGATACATTGAGTGAAGGAAAACAAGATAGGTGCCCCATAAGCACCAGCTCCTGCCTCCACCTGCATCCAGTGTGTAAAAGTGTCTGGTGAAAATTTCATTAAATCCACATTTACACAAAGAAATGCATTTTAACATCTCTAGTCTCTAGAGCATGCAGGTCATTTATTTTTATGCTGGTAATTATTAAAAAAATGGTAATTTTCTTAATAGTTTAAACTGAGCAAAACTTCCACCCGCTGCAAATCCTGGAACAGCACTTCAGTGGATGCTTTCCCAGCTGGGAGGCAAATGGATTTTTTATTGTTTGATGGGCGAGGAAGAAGTGGAGTCATATTTAATTTTTCTCAACGGCCAGGATGGGGCCTCAGCTGGTAAGTTTCCGTGGCGCTGCTTGCTCGGCTGCCCGACAGCTACCGCGCACGGTTCGGTTCTCGGCGCCACCTGTCAGGACTACGCACTGTACAGCCTCGCTGATTTCAATGCGGTTCAGGACAGCGCCTGCTGCCGGTGCAAAGTGGTTGGGCGAACACCAGAGGGCGCTGTTCATCTTTCCTCCCAGGACTCATGCTTTGTTCTCGCGAGAGTTTAGAGTTCGTAGGGCAGGCGGAAGCAGAATCCAGTTCTCTTTCCGGGCGGCCATAGTGGAGCTAGCAGCGGGGTAAGGGAGGTGCTGATATAATCCGTCTCCATCCCTTCCACGGGGCCTCGATTCCGGCCCCGAGATGTTGGGGGGAGCTCGAGAGTCGTGCGGCCGACACCGGGGGGCCTGTATGGCGGGCGCGGGGCCGGGACTGGTTCCCGGCTGCAGAAACTACCTGGGGCCTTGGAGAGGGTGGAATTGCTCCTAGGTAGGGGGTGGAAGGTGATCAGGACTGCTGGGCTGGCGGAGGGAGAGAACGGCGAGCAGGTTCTTTGCCCTGGGGGCTAGCAACTGCCCCGCTAGCGAAATGACTCGAGGCCAGGTTAAGGCCCCACGGGATGCTCCGTTTTTCCGCGGTGAGAGGGTCTACCCGCTGGGAAAGGAGCTGAGGCTTTTCTGTCGGGAAGGAAGGGGGTGAAAACCAAAGCTGCACATTCCCTGACTCGTCAGCCTTGGAGAGGGAGATGTTGCTCCTGTTTTGGGGTGGGGAAGGGAACACCATACATAAGGTATTCTGTTACTTCTTATTCCTATGTCATGTTTCACACATGCAGAATAGGAAGCGACTGCCTAGGAAGAAGCACTGCAGAAAGGGATCTGGGGTCATAGTGGAGCACAGAGCACAAGCTAAATATGAGTCAACAATGTGACACTTGAAAAAAAAAAACATGATTCTGGGATGCATTAACAGGAGTGTCGTGACACAAAGTTGTTTTTCTCTAGGAAAAACTTCCTTTCATGGTGGTGAAACACTGGAATAAATTGCCTAGGGAAGTTGTGGAATCTCCATCTGGAAATATTTAGGAGCAGGTTACACAGACATGTATCAGAGATGCTCTCCTAGAGTTCTAGACAGTGCTTGGTCCTGCTGTGAGGACAGGGGACTGGATTTAATGATCTCTTGAGGTCCCTTCCAGTTTTAGTGTCCTATGAGTCTGTCTGGTGACATATTTTAAAATTATGCGTGTTGGAGGCTGCTTTCATAGATCACAGATTCCTGTCTCAGCTTGAAGTTTCTCTACTATGAGCATCTATGTTATGGTTTGCTGTTCCTGTCTTTAGTTCCATGCTCTCTTAACCTGCCACTGAGCTTGAGCGGTATCTGATTTGTAATTGGATTGTTTCAAAGCCCTATCAACTAGTCAATAGGAACTTCTGCATTCCTCCTTTGAAATGTACAAGAATGGGGAGGAGGGGGGACTCTTGTGCATTTCAAAGCCAGCTGATCCCCAGCGTCAAGGCTGCCCCTTTGAAACCCAAACCTGGAGTTAGTGTTTCAAAGGGGCAGCTGATCCTGGGCTCAGCTGTGCGGTGCTGTCGCTTTGAAGTAACCCTTACTTCACACACACACACCCTTTGCTGCCTTTCCCATAGTAATTGTTTACTGCATGATTTTTTGAGCCTCACCACATTGGTCAGGGAACATATAAGCTTGTTGCAAACCCAGACTTATGTGAATGCAAGCTAGAGATTTGTGGTTGGAAACTAAAGTAAATGCTTAAAAGATTTTGTTGAAATCCAGTTGGGACCAATTCATATCAAATATATGCAGAATTTCACACCTACCTTGTTTTTGCTATAAATGTCACTTCAATTTCATGTTTGTTTCTTTTTGTGCAGCCAAAATGAAGTTCAATCCTTTTGTGACTTCGGACCGCAGCAAGAACCGCAAGAGGCATTTCAATGCACCGTCTCACATTCGCAGGAAGATCATGTCTTCTCCTCTTTCAAAGGAATTAAGACAGAAATACAATGTACGCTCTATGCCTATCCGAAAAGATGATGAAGTCCAGGTAGGTGCCTTTTTAGTCCTTTTGAAATTTGAACATTGTGGATATCGTGTTTTTATGTAGAGTTTCTGCAGGAGGGGAAAAAAAGCTAGACACTTCACATAGCCAGTAGAGATTTGGAGTTAATGTTATAGCAGTCTGGGCTTATTCACTGCTTGGTGGGGGAGATCTCAAGGAGAAAAATGTGTGGAACACATGTATTTTGAGAGACATAATTGGTTACAGGCCTCAAACAGGATAATACAGAAAATACTTCACCTTTAGTCATTTCAATTTCAAGCAATTTATAGTTAATTGAATCTAGTTGACTGATGGAGACATACAGAACAAGATGCACTTCCTTTTCACTATATTTTATATCTAGCAGAATATTATATTGCTCCTAGTGAGACCCCATGATATTTCATTGTAAGGTGCACACACAAGGGATAAAGTGAGGATTTCAGCCTGTGAAGATACTATTCTTATCTATGTCCGAGGAGGAGTTTGGGAAACTTGAGAGAATTAAATGCTCTGCGTTTCTTTTTTTGTTTTGTTTTTGTTCAGGTCGTCCGAGGACATTACAAAGGCCAGCAAATCGGCAAGGTAGTCCAGGTTTACAGAAAAAAGTATGTCATCTATATTGAACGCGTACAACGTGAGAAGGCCAATGGCACAACAGTCCATGTTGGAATACATCCTAGTAAGGTAAAATTCGTGCGTGGATAATAAATTTCCCAAAAGGAGTTTCTGTTAGCTCTGGAAATAGGTGCAGTTTGCAGAAGTAGAGTGTTAGCCTAGCACATGTAGTTTTCCAGTTGCAGCTGGAAACAAGGAGCC